TAAATTGGATGAACACATAAAAATATATTACCTCCATAAATACATACTACATACATTTATAGTATGTAAGAATATATTTATTTATTAATATATAAAAGTGCATTATAAGCATGAACACATCAAAGGATATTGATTATTTTTTGTATAAAAATATAAATAAAATTTAAAGGGAAATTCTCAAAAAAAATTGAATATTTATTTTATATCAGACAATTGTGATTACAAGTATATACATTGTATAAATTAATCAGCCTATTTGCTACTTATCACATAATATTTAAATATTCAGATGTTTTCTTTTTGCTGACACTGTAACAAAAATTCATCTCAAAATTTAAAATAATATTACATAACAAATTTTTAAAATATTCCCTCGTAAACAATCATTTCTTTTCTTAATATTTAAAGATGACAAAAAAGTATTTCTGACTAATTATCAGAGGAATACAGTAAAGAGTATTTCCTTGTTTTATATGATTTTTTTTTTAATTTCAACAGAAAGTAAATCATGGTGCCAACCCACCAAAAATAAATGATAATATTCCAATGAACTCTGTTTTTTTTTATTACGTATGCGTGGTTGATTTTATGACCATAATATTTATTTTAATAAAAAATATTCATGTATTTTTTAATTAAACATCTCGTGTGAATACATTTTCTGTAGAATTACAAACACACTTTGGTCATGCACCTCAAACATTTGGAAGTCAAAACTGATGGCTATGCTAGCGAACTCAGGAATTACATATCATTGTAATACGACTCTATTATCTTAAAGGAGCACAATATACCAAAACGTAAGTAGTTGTAGTTGTTGCTGGAGTTGACAGGACGATAATTTCGGGTCATTCCGGTACTTCATGATCTTCCAGCTCCTAGCAACGTACACCAAGCAGAGAGCCAATTCAGCGAAACTGTCATCGCAGCAGCAGCCCGCTTTATTCCAGCTGGTCGACTATCTGTAGTGCGGCCGCACTTCCCAGCAGAGACAGCGAGACTAACAGACGAGCGCGATGACATCCGAAGTACCAACCTCGACGACCCACGTATTGTCCAGCTGAATCACAATATCAGCAGGTTGGTAAATGAGGACAAGCAGAATAAATGGTTAGATCATCTGAAGAACTGCAACTTAAGCTCTGGTGTTAGTAAGTTTTGTCTACAGTTCGGTCTCTCTCCAACCCGACGAAGAAGCATGACAGGGTCGCGATTAAGTTTGCAGACACCACTATTTTCGACCCAGAACGGTGTTCGCGTGCATTTTGCCGGCTTTTTATTGAGCATCCAGAGAGAGATAAGGCGAAACGAAGTGTTGTTCGCAAACTCCACAACCCTTCACCCCTACTGAAGTTGCAGAGGCCATCAACGCTGCCAAACCATCTAAGGCGAGATTGGCCCCGATGGCATATCCATGTTGATGCTGAAACAACTTAGCGAATGGGTAGTCGAGTACTTGACAATGGTTTTTAACTTGTCAATGAACAGCCTGATAATACCCAATGCCTGGAAAAAGGGTACAGTCATCCCGATACTGAAACCAGGGAAGAACGCGACAGAAGGTCAATCCTACAGACCGATTTCCCTCCTGTCACCAGTCGCGAAGACTCTTGAGACACTCCTCCTCCCCCAGCTGTCCAGCTATCTAACAGCAGCTCGCCACCAGTATGGATTCCGTAAGATGCACAGCACCACCTCAGCATTAACCACCATAACCACTCAGATCTCACAGGGCTTAAACCAACAGGACTTGTGAAAGGATACTCCTAGTGGCGCTAGATTTATCGAAGGCCTTCGATACAGTCAGCCATACCACACTCTTCCAGGACATCCTGCAGTCCACCATGCCTAACAACTTGAAGAAATGGATTGTGAATTATCTGAGTGGCCGTCAGTCGTTGGTAGAGTTTAGAGACAAGTGTTCCAAAACCCGTAGAGTTAAACAGGGTGTACCACAGAGCGGTGTCCTATTCACCTCTCTAAACTCCCTACACCTCCACAAGGTGTGGAAGTTATAGCTTATGCGGAAGACTGTACCATTATGGCGACGGGCCAAAACGTTGATGAGCTATGCGATCGAGTGAATGGTTATCTCGAAGAAATACACAACTTCTTCACTGGACGTAATCTAAAACTATCACCAGAGAAGTCTTCAGCAACACTTTTCACCATCTGGACGTAGCAGGTAAACTTGAATTTAGGCGTCGTAGTCGATGGAACCCAAATACCGACTGTGAACCACCCAAAGATTTTGGGGGTCACCTTTGACAGCCTGTTAATCTCCTCAGCTCATGCCACTGCAATCACGCACAGATTGCGAAGTAGAAACAAGTTCCTCAAAGCGCTAGCCGGCAGCACTTGGGGAATGGACAAAGAAACCTTGTTGGCCACTTATAAAACTATTGGCCGGTCAGTGGTCAATTATGCTGCTCCAGTATGGTCTCCTTCGCTGAGTAATACCCAGTGGAGAAATATTCAAAGCTGCCAAAATGCTGCCCTACGGACTATAACGGGCTGCATGCAAATAACCTCGGAGCAACACCTACACGAGGAAACGAAGGTCCTCCCAGTCAAGGAACATAATGTCATGCTGACTAAACAGTTCCTCCTGTGATGTCACCGGAGGAGACATCCCAACTTTAACATCACACAGTTGGATGCTCCCCCGAGGCATGTAAGGAAGGACCTTCGTGTATACGAGGAGAGCATACGAAGATATGTGCAGGATTCCTGGGTCGCAGTTCGTATACAGCAACTTTGAACGACATTCATAGAGACGCCATCAATAACGCGGTTTCAGGTTACCACATGAATGTCGTTCTTGTAGGTCGCCCACCGCCCATAGCAGAAAAAGAGAAGAACCTGCCGCGGAAAACAAGAATTGCTCTGGCACAACTGAGATGGGGATGGAGCAACAGGCTCAACGCCTACTGGTCCCGCATAGACCGTGCCGTCCCCAATATATGCCCAGCATGTGGACAGGGTCCCCATGATACAAACCACATATTCAACTGTCCAGCCCACCTTACTTCACTTAGCCCAATAGATTTATGGACTAACCTAATTGAAGTAGCCCAATTTCTTGGCTTGGACCTAAATACAGAACTTGCGGATTAAAAATTTTATAGTTTAAGCTGTTACAACAACCGAAACGTAACATTAGAGCTTTACTGAGTGAAGACTAAGGGCGGGTTTTTCAGATAAAGATAATCTACATTCTTTGGTTAAACCTAGTTTAATATATGTTTTGTGTTTTTCAGTAAACAGTAACGTTACTTATTATCTTAGTTTAACTGAGTGTTATTGGCCAATTAAACTTAAGTTATAAGTGAGAAGACACAATTAACAAAAACAATAAAACAATGATTTCGGAAGAACAAAAACTTAATATTTTAAGTAAATTGCAATTTTCTGATTTGTTTTGTTTTATTTATTATTGTTTTAAATGTTTATTTAACATTTTTCCAAAATGTTTCATTTTACAAATGTATTATTTGCAAAAAACAGCTGTTCATTGTTTATGTTTTTGAGTGAAAAGTTGGCAATACTAACGAAGTTAATTGAACTTAAATCCATAACTGAAAAACACAATCATAGGTTAAAGTCCGCCTAAATTTGTTCCGAGTTTAATGTAACAGCAAGTTAAGCCTAGTTTAACTGAGTAGTAAGAAACCCGCCCTAAGAGATAGATTTGATACTCGTTTTTGATTTAGTTATTGAGAATTTTGGGAATATCTGAGGAATGACTCCATTTTCAGCGAATAGAGTTAACGTATTTTATTCGTATTAAATCCATTTATTTAACAAGTATGGATAAAATCTGAATCATTGAAGAATAAGTATCACTTGTCCTTAAGTGCAATGAAATTTTACACCGAAGCCTCGAAAGGAATGTGGAGATTTGGCTTCTTTATAGAAGGATTTGGAATAAGTTATCCCTTCAGATTGCCAAAATATAGCAGAGATCTTAAGGTAGAAATATGTGTTATTAAACAAACAGTAAACTGGTTGAAGAATTATAGCATATAGGGAGATACCCAGCAAAAAATTTCATTACCATGTAAGCAGTTAAAATGCTAAAATTTACTTACACAATAGCATTTTAAGTTATTATTTGAACATGGTGATGTCATTGGAGGCAAGTACTTACCACAACCGCGTACAAGTAATTAGTAAATGGTACGTAAAAACACATACCTTCTATAGCTTCATGGAGAAGATGACTAATGAATTAGAAAGTATTTATATAACACATTATTAATAAGATGTTATTAGACTACTTATATGTAATCAGGACGATATGTAGTAATCATAGAAAAGTGTGTTAATAGGTAAGTAGTTACAACTGAAAGTCATTACTGAGTTTTTGCTGGGTATATATGTATGTATATATTGACTGTGAAGCTGGTATAAGAAATGTAGTGGGTTTCTTCACGACATCTAGGTTAAACACAGAATGGTGAAGGAGACAGCGATGCATATTGCTGACGAGATGAGTAGCCTTTAGGTATACACTCCTTTAAAGCCAAGATCATGTACGAGTAAAGGTCTTAGTAGACCAATAAACTCAGAAGTTCATGACCACAGAGTGTATCGCGACAAGATTGCTACGCAGGTAAAGGTAACAATCTTGTCAGATCCGTGAATTTTTTTTAACATCTTAATTCTGTGACTTATTCTTAAACCTTATGAGAAAATAGGAAAGATATTTCATTATTTTACATATATTACTTTAATCGATTCAAGACGATTTCATCACCTAATACAGGGATAAAGTAGAATAGTAAAGCCAGTACTGCAGCTCAGCGTTAAAAATTGTTTGCAATTTTGTCTGGATACTACAAGCTGGTATAAAGTGCTGACGTTACAAAGTTTTTTTCTTTGTTTTTGTTGCATTGCAAAATATATATAGATCATATGATCTATTTAAAGTAATTTAAGCAATATACACCTACAAATACTAGTATACTGAGGCATTTAGGCATAGAAAACACAGTATTAAAAATTCTAAAGAAACTATTTGATGCAAAGTTTCTTATCGCTATTAAATATTAAAATAAAATAAAGATTAAAGAATCTTAAGAAAGTATTTCGAACTTAATATTATTACAAATATATATGTAGGTATATATTATAAAAATGTACACGTTATAATTATTAAAATAAACAATCATCTGCCATTAAAGTACAAGAAAATAGCAAAAACAAATCTCTTTGTTCAAAACTCTACAGACTATAAGAATATTCCACAACAATTGCCATAATATACACATCGTTTGTATGGTTGAATGTACACACTTGAATGTATTTAAATGGAAGGGTAAAGGGGTACAACCATCCTTTTTTACATTAAACGCCTACTATCGAGATAAGTCATTAAACCCGACTGTTTGACCATTTAAATTCACAGCTCTAGCAGTTAGTAAGTCATATTGCAAATGATGTTTTTAGTATATTCTAATACTACAATATATTCTCTAGTTTTGTTTTTCATTCTTCAGATGGTTGGTCTTGAATTCTGGATGAAAAAAACTTACCTCACTTGGTGACATTGATGACATTTTTCTGGTAAATTTTCTTAAAATTTTAAACACTATTTTGTATTCACACACTACAGAGTAATAAATCTGCGAAAGGATTTTGTTTTTTAATAAATTAACTTAAGCAAACAGCTTAAATATTTTTTTTTTGATTATTTATTAATTAAATTTCCATAAGTTTCTTCTATTTTTCTGTTAATTGTTGACACTAAAAAAAATCTATTGACGTTTCTTACTTTTCTCAATAATTTATTAACATTTGTTTTGCTTCAGCTTTCGTTGTCTATCAAAACCAGTAATGATAACTTTTTTCGTTTTTAAAAACTTGGAATATTCAAAATCGCTAGAAAATTGTTAAAATTTGCCGTTATTTTATATTGTGTTTATTTTTACGAAATAAAGAAGAAAAAAATAGTATTTTTAATAATAAGTTAGTTAGTAAGTAAGTTAGTTAGTTAGTTAGTTAGTTAGTTAGTTAGTTAGTTAGTTAGATAGTTAGTTAGTTAGTTATTTAGTTAGTTAGTTAGTTAGTTAGTTAGTTAGTTAGTTAGTTAGTTAGTTAGTTAGTTAGATAGTTAGTTAGTTAGTTAGTTAGTTAGTTAGTTAGTTAGTTAGTTAGTTAGTTAGTTAGTTAGTTAGTTAGTTAGTTAGTTGGTTAGTTGGTTAGTTAGTTAGTTAGTTAGTTAGTTAGTTAGTTAGTTAGTAGTTAGTTAGTTAGTTAGTTAGTTAGTTAGTTAGTTAGTTAGTTAGTTAGTTAGTTAGTTAGTTAGTTAGTTAGTTAGTTAGTTAGTTAGTTAGTTAGTTAGTTAGTTAGTTAGTTAGTTAGTTAGTTAGTTAGTTAGTTAGTTAGTTAGTTAGTTAGTTAGTTAGTTAGTTAGTTAGTTAGTTAGTTAGTTAGTTAGTAGTTAGTTAGTTAGTTAGTTAGTTAGTTAGTTAGTTAGTTAGTTAGTTAGTTAGTTAGTTAGTTAGTTAGTTAGTTAGTTAGTTAGTTAGTTAGTTAGTTAGTTAGTTAGTTAGTTAGTTAGTTAGTTAGTTAGTTAGTTAGTTAGTTAGTTAGTTAGTTAGTTAGTTAGTTAGTTAGTTTGAAAGGAGAATGTATGTAACACCAAATCCAAACCTATGCATAACGATGGAGGCCTAGATTTGTGCTTTACTTTACCAATGTATCTGAAGGGAATCAAGCATACGTCTCTCAGTCTGACAGAGTCAAACTAACTTCTAATTTGCCGGAGACACAAGATCTAATCTGATCTAATTGTTCAAAGTTTCTTGCTTCTCATATAAATATATAGATCAACTTAATGGATTCCCTTTGAAATTTGGAATCCTTGACATTTCGGTTATGTACCCTGCTATTTCATTAATTAATCCGAAAAATTGTTACATTTTAATAATTGAAAAAAAAGAATTCACTACATATTACACATTTATTAATTAAAACATTTAACTTTGATCTACAAAAATATTTAACATTTTCACTTAAATAGAAGACAACAAAAACAACTGTAATAACAAATATTTATAATTTACTATTACCAACCAACATATCACGAACCAATTTAACAGCATATTTAGCAGTACCAGGTGCTGTAGTAACACCATAACCACCATGACCATAATTGTGAACAACTTTAACAGAATGTCCGTTTTGCTTGCGCAATACTTCCGATTCTACACGGACAACAGCACGATGGGGTCTCAAGCCAACTAGTTCACGTACAACTTCAGCATTTTTCAAGCTGGGCAACATATTATAACAACGTTCCTTAATAGCCATCGAATCATATTTACAAACATTCATATTATAACTTTCAAACTGACGACAGCCACCCAGAGTAACAGTTTCAAAACCAGGTACAATATAGGTATCATAATCACCGTAAAATGCAGTTTTTATCCAAGGAGCACGAACTTTAAGAATTTGTCCACGTATGGGTACTAATTGTTGGTCATTGCACAGTGTTTTGGCACCCATGCCAGAGCAGTTTATAACAACATCATAATCAACGGGTAGTTGAGTCAAAGAGTTGACATGTTGGAAATGTACAATACCACCGGCTTCATTGAATCTAGAGATCAATTAAAAAAATTATTGTTTACCAAAGAAAATTGCCATCATCTCCCAGTAAAGGAATCTTTACTCACTTTCTAGTAGCGTAAGGCAAAAACAAACGACTTTCGGTAACACAGGTGGTAAAGAAGGAACCATATTTCCAATCGCCATGACACAATTTGAATTCTTCTTCAGTGGCTTGACGATAAATAGGTAACAATTTTTCGATATAATGATTCTGTAAAGAAAAACATTTGGATAAAGTTGAAATATAATTTGAATTGACTCCCTAACTTAAAAAAATATCAAAGATTCTTTCAGATTTTCGTAAATACTTGTATTATATTTTGTTATTTGTTATGAGAGAATACTTGAACATGTTTTAAATTTAATTTATGCTTTGTCATCTCTCTTAAACATTAGATTAAATTAAAAATTTGTTGTTATTGCCATAGATTGTATATAGATTTAATGAATACAAATTATTCAATTGCAACAAGACAGTCATAACTTAAAACTTATCGAAATTTTTGTATAAGTATGAAACTGTAACGATTTTTAATTACAAAATCGATTATTTGAAACTTTCTTAAAAAATTTCCGACTTTTCAGCTCTGTTAGGACAAAAATCGAAGTCGACTAGACTTTTCATCAAAAGATTCGAAAATCGTTTATAGATCGTAAATTTCGACTAATGTTGAAAAACACTTGAAGAACCACACTGGCCAACAAATTTTTAAGAAGATATAACAGAGATTACATCTTTAGTCCAATGTCGACAGATTGGGCTTTCAGAGCATACAACAAAAAGCTTAATTTTTCAATTAATGTTGTTGTAAAATTGTAACTGTGGCCGATAGTTTTTTTAAGAATCAAAAAATTTCCGGTTTATACATCTCTCGTTGAATTGACAATGTTTGGCGGAATCTTATCTGAAGCGAAGATTCAGTTGTCGTGGATTTTCATACTTTTTGGTAAAATCTTTGCGAATTCTCAATTAAAAATGTAAGCCAAGCATAGTTATTACACTCTTCAAGCAAATGCAATAAATAATCCAAAAATTTGCCGTTAGGACATAAAAAAATCTTATCAATGGTCACGCTATACACCCAAACCTACACTCGTCAATTGTCAATTAAAATTTAATAGTTGATAAAGATTAGAGTAACTATCGCAACGATAAAATGTACTCAAAATCGAAACAAGATTCGTTCTTTTCTACACAATCTTATCGGAAATTTTAAAAAATGTTTAATTGATTAAAAAATTAAACAAAAACAAGTATTAAAAAAGTCACTTACACGAACTATGGAAGGTGAAATGCTGGAGAAAATATAACCAGACAACTGGCAGACACCGGCTAAGGCAGCATCCTTGGAACGGCGTATATCATCCCAATAATAGTAAGCATCATTTATCCATTGTCTGCAAACAATTTAAATATTAATAAATAATTTGCCTTTAAAATAATAAATTGATATTGAACTTACTGTGTAATTTCCTTGGTGGGTCCCATAAAACTGGTGCTGGGACGGAAAATACCAGCAGCCACATTACTGGTGGTGTCCTCATTGAAACGATCAGCCAAAATGGTTACTTTAGCATTGGGAAATGTTTGCTGCAACTCTAGCGCGGTGGTTAGACCAATAATACCGCTACCCACAATACCGAAATGCATTTTGTTGTTAAAGAAAAGATTTTTGAAAAAAAAGATAAAGAAATTAAATATATTTCCAAACACCCAAAAGTCGTTGACAAGAGATTAGTTTACGCTGTGTGTTAACTAGCGCAATGACAACTAAATACTCAATATTAATTTTTGTATTTAAAATATTAAATTAATTTTTTTCATAATTCTTATCTTTTGGAATCGTATTCGAATATGTATACAAATATATGTATGTATTATTTTTGAATATCCCAGCAAAAAAATGTTATAATTTTCGTGACTTAAATAATAGTACTCATTCTAAATGAATTTCTAAATCCAATCTATTACGCCGTTAATACATCTAATAAATATATCGTCCAAAATATTTACAAAACAAGACCATCATATTTGCATTGATTCTTTAACGATACGCTAATCGAGCATCTCCGCCATCTAATAAACACCGATTAAACAACAACTTTGTTATGTAAATTTTGCTGGGATATAATATAGAATAATTGGAAACAAAATATAAACAAAAACAAACTTTGTCAGCTGATTATCAGAAAAGCTATTTTGTTAAAGTAAAAAGAGAGACATCTATGGGCAAGTATGAGTAACCTGTAATAAAGCTTTTAAATTTTCGAACTTGAAATTGCAGCACTGTGGGACGACTTAAACTTATTCAAGTCATCAAATTATTAGAGTATTTGAAAGAAGTCCATTATCTCGATAGATAGATAGATAGATAGATAGATAGATAGATAGATAGATAGATAGATAGATAGATAGATAGATAGATAGATAGATAGATAGATAGATAGATAGATAGATAGATAGATAGATAGATAGATAGATAGATAGGTAGATAGATAGATAGATAGATAGATAGATAGATAGATAGATAGATAGATAGATAGATAGATAGATAGATAGATAGATAGATAGATAGATAGATAGATAGATAGATAGATAGAAAGATAGATAGATAGATAGATAGATAGATAGATAGATAGATAGATAGATAGATAGATAGATAGATAGATAGATAGATAGATAGATAGATAGATAGATAGATAGATAGATAGATAGATAGATAGATAGATAGATAGATAGATAGATAGATAGATAGATAGATAGATAGATAGATAGATAGATAGATTTGAATGCCCAAAGTGGATAAATGAAAGAAGGGTATTAAGCTCTAAGTTATGTGAGATAATTTCAGCAGATAATATAATAAGAATTATGCTGAAATCGAAGCAAGAGTGGAATCATTGTGAAAACTATATTAATGCAGTTATCAAGAAAAGATGCTTGAGAGTTCCGAACCTCCCACAATAGGAGGATGTAGGAATGAAAAAG